ATTCAGTTATTCAGGAAATTCCAATAAATTGTTCAACCTTAAATTACCATAAGGTACTCTATATTTATTAGAGGGAACACAAGGAACGGGGAGAATGAAGAGCTTCGGAGAGAAAAATCATTAAAGGCCAATCAGCAGCAATTTCAGTGATAAAGTGACTGAATTAGTATTCAGCGGATCTCATTTCTTTTCCCACTAAACCCTACTTGTTTTGATAAAAATAAATGCTTATTATTCCTGCATCATTTCTCCCAACTTGAGGCATCTGCTCAATACTTGCTCTCTGAGCTGTTTAAGTTTGGCTACAATGCAATACTGAGATATCATATACTGAATCCTCAGCAGAGGAAAAACTCCACAGGATTCGTAACTGATGTTTTCACATAAAACAGCTATCATGACATTACAACGCATTTATGCCAGACTTATAGGTGTTTTGCATTTTGATGTGGGACAACACGCACAGGACTTGTCACAAAACCAGTAGAAAAGGAAAACCAAGAATATATTACACATTCCAAGGGGCCTTTGAATTAATAATCAAGATCTCTTCACATTCAAGAACTTATTCCCAAGAGTAAATCCATGTTTTAGCACACAGCAAAGTATTTCTACTTAAGGTCAGACTGCTGGCTTCACAACAGACAGACTCATGAACAGCCAGTGCATTTTTGGAAAAGCTTTAGGTTAATGAAGAATCTACGCTTTGCTGTCAGTAATGTTAAAAGATTCTCCTCTCCGGAATCCACCGCATCTTCCCCAATACTTTAAAGCAGTATGAACACATACACATGTGTGCATATATAGGTGTAGCTGAAAATACAAACGTATATACACACACAACTCTTGTACATTCAGAATGCAAGTAATGCATTAACAAAAGCTAGTGGATAATGCACATACATCGTAGCATAATAAAAGTGACATGATAAAATGATTCATTTTTTAAATTTGAGTTTCTTGCATTGTCCTTGACAATTCCTTGCAAGTGCCAATTTAATTCGATTGCAAAAACACACCGGAATGGTTTATAAAGGATATTTTGCCTAGAGCATTAGATCAGTAAAGATCATGATAAATATTTTCCAGGTCTCCATCTGACCTTGTTAATTATATCTATCATCAGATTTTAATCGATACCCAGCTAACACATCACGGTGAACTTCTTTGTTAAAAGAAAGTAATTTTCAGAAGTGGCTTAAACCTTTAAAAAAGGTTTCCTTAAAAAAGGAAAAAAAATTACACCAACAGATACTTCTCCAAGCAAAATAGTACTAAATCTTGATTTTGAAACTATTGCGATAGTCTTGACCAAAAGACTTGGTTGATACTTGGTTTTTCCACCTCAAAGACTGCAGCTAAGTTATCTTTTGACCTTGCTGATCTTTATCCGTAGCACAAATGCAGATGACTTGCATGGGGAGGAGGGGAAACAAATCTCACCAGATTTTCAGAAAGCTGTTATGAATGGCACGTAGAACTGGCTGCACAAAATTCTAAACCAAACTGCAGAAGCAGTTTGCAAAAGCAATCCTACTAGTCTAAGTGCAGTTGTTAGTATCTGAAGCAGCTCGTATTTGGGTATACAAGACCACACTCCTTTTGGGACAAGGGGAGTAAGTTCTTACTTCAATTCAGTTATGTATATCTGCCCTACCCAGCAAGAAGATGGAATAACACATGAAAAACCTAGGACCACTGATTCCATTATCAGAAAGGTGACCATGCATATTGTATTCTCCCACAAAATGAGGAAAATCTTGACATGAGAATCAGAAGTTGACGATTGCCACTATGATTATAGCAATTTAATTCATAAGGAAGCAGTGATACGTAAGTTTAGGATATTAAGATTAACAGTTTAACTCAAAAAACCCAAACCTATCTAAAGTATTTTACATGGCAGAATCAGACAGCAATAATCCAAGTGAAAATTGTTATTACATGCTAATGTGTGATGACTGACTGCAGGCTTCAAGTTCATCTAATCAGCATAATGAAAATAGAAAGTACAAATTGACAGAAGGCAAGGAAATTCAGAAGTTATAGTGGTAATAATGTCCATTATTGAAACAAAGCACAGCAAACTGAAATAAAATATAAGCTTCAACCTTATCTGTTACTCTCACAGGGTCTGCTGTTTCACTAATGAAGAACCACTTTTTGACACAGGACATACATACAGACAAAATCCTTCCTCTTCTCCTTCACTCTCCTGCAAAAAAGCACCCCTGGGTTGAGGTAGGGGGAGAGGAAGGATGTGCAGATCTCTCTCCTTCTTCCAGCTAGAAGGGTTTGTCCAGATCATCTGGGTCTTGTACACAACAAAGACACAGGATTAGGGGATGCAATGTGCACTTTAACACAAGAACACACCTGAGTACATATCAACCCCCTCCAGTAACTACCTCCATAAATTTGTATGTTGGCAGATACGAGATATGAAAAAAACTGTACAGGGGTTTTCACAGACATGAACAAGCAGTGCAATAGTGCACGCCTTGGCAACAGACGTGACCTTGCAGTGCAGACACCCATCAGAACTTTGCCCTAACAGAAAAAATCCTTAACATAACAAGTCTTATTTTAAGGAATTTCTTGTTTCTGTTTTTCTATTGTGTTTCAGTAGAATAGGAAGGATGCACATTTGAAATGAACAGAAATCCTTTAAAATAATTTTTAAAACCCTTTATTATTAAATTTAACATTTTTTCCATTTATTTCAACTTGTAAAGAATACATGATACATTCTAAATATACAGCCAAGGAGAACACTGAAAAAGAGTATTAGAAATAAATAATGCAAGTCTGTAATAGCCAAATATTTTCTCAGAAGTTCTGTAAACAGATTGTGATTGGGACCTCTCAGGAAGTACTGTGTCTTAAAATGTAAGATTTCAAGAAATAAAATCCTAGAAAAATTGAAGTATGGTTCTCGGAAAACCACCTCTTTTAAATATCCACATTCTATACTTTGTATAAGTCTACATTAATATGCTAAACAAGTAAGACTTAAAATTAAGTGAACACAGGAATGGAAAGTAATAGTAAGTGCCTCCCTGTGGCTTGCAGCCATTTTATTATAGTAGCTTGCTGTGCAACAGCATGCAAGGTTCCTCAAGGCAACAAATCTTTTAAATAATACAATGTCCTTAACTCTCATAGAAAGCAAAATAAAAAAGAGACTATCCGACATATCCTCTCTGAGAACACCATGATTGCAAATAGATGAGTAACATGGAAAAAGGGATGAACCTCTTCCCCATGTTCAGTTGTTCCCAGGGGCAAACAAGAACTCCCTTGAAAGAGACGCACACTTGGGCAGAATGTGAGTTTTAGTCATTACATATTACAATACAGCCTCTGAAGAGGTAACCATTCTACTTTGTTTCCTCTGTTGCAGGAGACAGCAGAAGTATGTTTCCAGATATCTAACCCACAGCAAAGAGAATTTGACAAAGAACAGCTGAAATTCTCATCTATACTGAAGCTTCCTGCAATAAACCTGAGGTGACAAAAGCACGTTGCCTATGAATCCTTCACTTCCTCTTCATTCCTCCATTCCCCAAACATCACGTGTTCTTAACTTTGTGTTCCCAGTGATTAAATGCCAGGTTACTAAGTAACATTCATATAAATCTCAAAGCACTTACTTCATGCTGCAAAGTAATCAACTACATAAAATCTTTTCTAAAGGACCTTTGCATGAATTCTACCACCTTGTTTGACATTATTACCCAACAATGAAAATGTAGATGCAAAACAGTCATGAAACAGTAATACATTCACTGAGCCTTTTTAAAAAGCATTTTCAAGACAGTTTTAAAAAAATAGAATGAGAAGGGAAGGTTTGCAAATCACGTCTGTTTTAACTTACCCAAGTAAGAGTAAGGAAAAACTTTTCAATATTGGATATACAATATAATACTGTTGTAAGGAAGAGGAAAATCAGGTTACTTGAAAAGCTACTGAATTTGGAGGTTTTTTTGCAAGCCACAACTGCTTGTCTCCCTCTTAAATTCTCAGTATATTATTTAATCATTTCACCGATACAAGTCTGGAGAATTTACAGGAGAGTCAAAACAATCACAACTAAGAAACAGGTAGTCCATAAAAAAGGAACTTGTTTTCCTCTCAATGGATTCTTACAGAGGTCTGAATTAATATTGGAAGAGATGCAAACTATTAGGCCGCTTGTTGTATTTGTGTTTGTCTCAGTACTTTGGTACCACAGATCACAGCAGCTTTCCTGCCAGTACACAATATATTGATTAGGCATTCTTTGCTATGGAGTTGTAAGCAAACTATGAAAAAGAAAACCAACCCCGGGTGGAACTGTCACAACTGACCCTTTTTTGGTTTAACTGTATTGACAATGTCAATTTAAAGTAAGAAACAAAAATCTTCAGATACAACTTTTCAACAAAATTAACCATGCCAGTTTGTTAAACAGAAGCATCCTCATGCCCTGTGTACTCTTACATTGCATATACCACATTTGGACCTGTGCATCACACACAGAATGGTTAACTAATAACACAGCATTTACAGCGGTATCTGAGGCAGAAGCAGCACTTCTGAGTTTCCCATCTGAGGTTACAATACCGGTGCTTTTTCTGTTAGCCATTTTCTAATTGTAAATTGGTCACTTGAGATGAAGTACAATGTCAAGTGAAAATAACACAACTGAGAGTATAACTAGACCTTGACTAATACCATTCAATATGTAATCACCAGCTATACATTCACCCTTACTTTGCTTCAAGAAAAAGCTACTAAAATCTATTCTAGTGTCTCTTAACATGTGAACAGATTTCACTGCAAGCGTAAGTCCCAAATCAATAATCTAAAATCTGCATAAACAATGAAATTATTCCATTTGAATTAATTACCTGTATAAGAAACATAATACTCTATTCATTCCATTCACATTTCACTCAATACTACTGAATATGGGAATATTAAATCATTTTTTTGGCCAATAGTATTTGAATGTGGGGGGGTTTTTTCTTTATGATACACACTTCTTTACTTCGCACATCATATGCTTGTAACTCAAGGCTGTATTTTCCTTATCTGACTACTTCTTTCACAGGTAAACAGTGGCATTTAAAAACAGAAGTGAATTCTCAAAACACAGAATTATGGCAAACAGAGTCATCTGGAAAAAACAATGCATAAATCTATTCACCTATGCGATAGCAGCCTCTGACAATTGCTTTGAGAAAGCTGTTAGCGCAGAAGACATTTCCCATAGCTCTGAAAAAGCTTACTTCAGTGACAGCAAAGTTGAAAAACTGTCTCACTATCTTACAGAAAAATTCTAATGAAAAATTTTGATTCCCCTGTAAAATATCTCCTTTTTAAACTTCAGCAAATTGTACTGAACTTCTCAGATCATTTACCTAGCCAGTTCTTTAACAAATTGCTAACACAAACTACAGCAGAATATACTGAATAATTAATTTCCAGAGTTCACCTTTATTAAAAACAAGGTTTTTGTTGTGAGAACAAATAATCTCTCACTTGTAGCTTGAAAGCCTAAGATAGGATCATTGGCTTCCAGGGTTGCTACTAGCTGCTTAGCAACCTGTCCTACTTGTCTTCCTTCCTTCCTGTTGTAGAGAACTGTGGACAGAGGAGTAGGCTGACGATAGATGAAAACTCGTCGCAAGCACTCACAAAGAGCAGCGTAGGAGTAATCTGGAGCACAAGCCATAAACTTCTTGTCTTGCTTTGATGCTTGGACATAACCTGCATAGCCCAAAAAGAAGTAGAAGGGAGAAGTAATATATTGGTTTCAACTCTAACTGGCTAAGACAAAATCAACCTTAGCTTAAAAAATAATATGCAACTAGTAACAAAAAAGAAAGAGAAAGATATATGTTGTTATTAAATAAGCCAATAGTTTCTGGAGGTATGCATTAACCAATTTAATACCAATATACAATTCTTCTGTACATCTTCCTAACTGGCGTTTTTGATGTGCACGTATGTATAGCTAGATACTGTTCACACAACTAGCCCCTCTCTGCCTCACAAGGTCTTCCATTTTCTCAGCAGGATCATAAGGCACGGATACACATCTTGGCCCAATATTAGTAGTCTAAGCAGAATAACCCTCTTCTCTCCCCTCACCTCCCAGTTTGTAGTTACATTTACAATTTAAGATTTCTGAGTCTACCTAATCTTGAACAGATACTTAAAACTCGTCTTCTATTTAGAAATCACTGAAAAAAACATGAGTTGCTTTTCAACACACTGTAGTCTTGTCAATATTCACTGGGAAGGAAAGATCTTCCTTTTCCTCTTCCATTACAGAACTCAATTAGAAACAGACTTATTTCAGACTGATTTCCTTTCACACTTTTGTAGAGACTTGAGACACAATCTTTGCAAAGTGATCTACCGTCTTTCTGAAAGGTTATTTGATGCACTTCCACTGAACAATGCTCGGCAATGGTTATCACTGAAAGACAGCACCTTTGAGAACCGCAAGAATGCTAGAGTTTACTTTTTTTGGCTCTCCCTCTTTCCTTATTATCATAGGATAGAGGTCAAAGTACTTGTACTGGGGCTGGCTGGGATGGGGTTAATTTTCTTCACAGCAGACCATAAGGTGCTGTGTTTTGAATTTGTGACTAAAACAGTTTTGATACCACACGATTTTTTGTCTATTGCTGAGCAATGCCTGCACATTGTCATGGCTTTCTATCTTTCCAACTCTGCCCACCCCCCAGTAGGTTGGGGGTGCATAAGAAGTTGGGAGGGGACACAACCAGGACAGCTGACCCCAACTGACCAAAGAGCTCAACCCATGAGCTTTCTTTCTTACTTTTGCTCTTCCTGCTCTCTCCCCTGTCCCACTGGAGGTAGGGAGGGGGAATGGGAAGAGAGCAAGCAGCTGTGTGGTGCTTAGGTGTCCACCAGGGCTAATCCACAACAGTACCATCACACTTTAACTGCATTTTCACACCTTGAGGGTGTTTTTGTTGTTTTGGGTTTTTTTTAAATGTTAACCCTAAGACTTCTAAATTTACGAATGCTTGCTACTGTCCTCAAAACATGATCTCTGTTCATATCCAGCCTCACAGTTTTCACCACAAAACAATTAGTAAATATATAGCTAGACTATCAGTTGACATGATTGCTGTACTGGGAAATATTAGGACAGCCAGAAAAACTTTCCAAGTATAAGTTAATTAATTTAATTCATATATTTAAACACTGGCACTAAAAATAAAAGCTGAATTTAAGTATACGCTTGCAGGTAAAAGAAGCTTTTGAGCCAGGGGACTTGTATTTAAATGGGATTTCCCAGAAAGAAAATCGTAGGCTCTTCATTTTTTTAAAAAAACAATCTAAAAAATGTCACTGTCCTCTATTTTGCTGGTTTATAGATACAACCCTGTTAGGAGCAGGGAATTTATATAGCAAGACTGATGAGTACTCAGTGAAAGATACAGGCTTCTTCAGTAAACTGTGGTAAGAATGGGCAAGATCACGCAACTGCTCCTTCAACCAGCAGCAAATCATTAGACTTTAGCAGCCAAAGGTCTACTCGAGACCAATTGTTTTTTTTCAACAGAAAGTTGTTAGGACAGATATATAGAAAAAAAAACTTGGTCCCTTCAGTTTCCCTTTGGTTCCTTCCCTAGGTTTCAGGCTAAGACTTGAATTGAAAAATATTAATTTTTCAATCATCCTCTTTGCATAGCTTGTTAAAAACTAATTCCAAAAGTTCAAGCAGAGGAAGAAGGAAATAGAGCTACTTAATACCATTGCTTTGGTCAATATAATAACTACTGTAGGTTTTTGAAAACTAGCCTTTTAATCTAGAAAATACTAATTTTTACTACTAGCTCTTGCAAAGTACTTCTAAATTTGGTTGTAGATAAACAAGCTGATGACTTACACCTCTGGCACATAAAAGGTGAAGTAGATTAGTACAGAAGTGTAAACTTCAATATAATACTGTAAAATGATAGTACAATAAGGAGAAAGAAGTAGAAGAACAATGTTGGTTTTTATCACCTTAGGTACAGAAAGCTCAAAGAGATCATAATTTCCTTCCTGTTATTTCCAAAACAATAGAAACACGTTCTTAAAACAGTACTACAAAGTCAGCATAGAAACTTGAAACTAATAGTAATTTGAAAAAACATCTTAATCCTTATCATCCGCTTTTTTCCCCCAGCATAATGAAATTTGAAATGAGTAAACAAAGAACAAATTGTGAAATTAATCTCTTTTGTTAGAGAATTTGTTAAGATGCTTACAGCTTAATTTGATCTTAAGTTAAAATAACAGGCTATTAAAAAATCATTCATATTACAAAACTAAATAAATTGCAAAAACTCAGAATAAAACCAATTATGTGTTATGGTAACCTATGTGAGCTCTATAAAACAGCTAATAGCTTCCCTTTCATTTTGGACCCAGACTGAGAGTGGCGTGGTCCAACAAATGTATTTGGGGGAGAGAGGGAATAAATTGTCACACATGGCATTATTGAAGGAATGGGTCTAGAGAACACTTAGAGAACATGTAGACTATAGTTGTCACAGCAGAAGCAAATTCTGGACCAGATTAATTTTCACGAAAACTGAGTTATCTGTTTCTTACTTGATAGGTACAATACTGGGCTATATCGGCCATCCTATTTGATCTGATACGGCAATTCTTACTCTTGCACCCATACTTTTCAAAGTACTTTCTGCTTCTGAGCCTTAGGATTCTGCTTCCAACAGTGGGTAAAAACAAATTCTTAGTCCTGATTGCAAGAATACAGCAATTAACTAATGATTCTTCACAGTCACATTTTCTACTTTTCTGGCAGTCTGTCATTTCAGAACAGTCAGGGGCTTCTTGAGCCAGAGCTGGCACAGTTACACTTTTGATTGATTTTTCCTGTCATGATGATTTTTTATTTTATTTTCAAATTCGTGAAAACTTCCTATGTCCACAAAGTTTTGTGGCAGAGGGTTGCATAGCTTAAATGTACATATGTGAAGTATTTCTTTTAGCTTCTTTTGAACCTACTATGTACCAGCATCATTTGATGCTCCTAGCTCTTATAAACAGAAGAAACAGTGAACAATCATGTCCAATTCTTCAGACTTGTCACCTGGGACAACGACATATGAAAAATCTAAAGGTCACTTATTAAAACATCTTACCATAAGCATATATACACCTAGACATGTCATCAATGAACTGCAGCTGTTCTCCTGATGAATTCCGTGTGAGTGTTAAGGTGCTGATTGTGCTTTTAAGTCTTTAACTCGAGTTCACTTACCCAAGGAACTCTCCTTTTTACTGTGCATTACTGTGCTTGCATCCTGTATATGGTCTGAAAAGGCTTGTTTTCCTCCCAAGGCATAAATATTTTATTTCTTATGCTCTAATATTTCTAAAATTAAGCTAGCATGCTGCTATCAACAGAATTATAGTACCTTTCAATTCAAATTTAATTAAGTGAAGTATCAACAGAAGCCATACTAAGAGTATTCAGGTAGAAAAATCTCAGATGGAGGAGTGAGACACAGAAGTTTATTTCCTACCTAAAGCATTAAAAGTTGCAATGTGTTCCCACATGTTCTCTGGTTGGTCAGAGTGGGGCTGCCAGAGAAGAGCATCAACATCATGCCTCAGGCAGAAGCATGGCATTTCTCTGGGATCCACAACAACTGAGAAAAGATACTGGTTGCTTCCAAGATTAATCTGAAAACAAAACAAAGAAATACAAAATATTGATTCAAAGCATAAATAGCAGATTCTGTCACACATACTGCCAAAGTTAGATGTTCAACAGCTTCATGTTTGTTAGTTGACAAAATGTTTGAATACATTATGCTGCATCCCACTGATCAACAGCTCAATACACCACAGGTAGCTAATACATTTCAAGCAGATGCTATTAAGTTTCTTGGGATAGTATTTAGGGAAACATTATGTCCACTACACAAGCAAATAGGAATGTGTTTTGTGTAGAAATGGTTTTCTAGGACAGAGGATCCTAACCTACAACTTCTGATGTTAGGAAAAGATTCTCTCTAAGTAATCATGTCTGGTTTTCTGCAGTGCCAACAGGGAAGGAAATACTGTCCCTCTGCAGTAAAAGTTGGTAACCACTGGAACAAGGATTAGTTAGAATACTAAAATTATGAAATGTCAACAATTTTTTATGTACTCACAATCACATAATTACTGAATTTCAGATTAATTAATTAATTAAGAAGCACACTCTTCATCAAATATGTCTATATCACCAAAAACATTCATAGAATCATAGAATAGTTTGGGTTGGAAGGGACCTCTAAAGGTCACCTAGTCCAACCCCCCTGCTGTGGGCAGGGACATCTTCAACTGCATCAGGTTGCTCAGAGCCCCGTCCAACCTGACCTTGAATGTTTCCAGGGATGGGGCATCCACCACCTCTCTGGGCAACCTGTGCCAGTTCAATAACCACTTCTATTCACCAGGAATGACCAATTACGTAAGACAGACAAGACAGACATATCCTGCTACCTGAATAAACAATAATAAGAATAAACGATAAAACAACACATATTTTGAGTTTTCTATGTAAAGCCTTCTAAAGGAATTTAATAGCAATACTTTTAATGTAGCACTATGACTAGCAAATGCTCAAAAAGGAAAGAACAATCTGTTCCCTTAAGGTCTATCAAGAAAGAACACTGAGAAATTCCTGTTTGTACTCAGAGCTGGTCCACATTGTTCACGTTACCAGATGAACAAATATATTTGAATTATTTTTTATATCCAGAAGCTATGTCTGCAACTGCAACATGAAGGATAACACCCTAATAGATGGTACGATATATTACTCCTCAATGAGCATTTCAGATGCTGACATTTGTTGACTAATCGTTCTCAAACAGTTGTCACAGCACTCTTTTTATTACACTTATTGTGACAATTAACTATGAACTGCAAGCTTTTTATGCTATCATTGTACAAATGTCACAGGATGCGGTCTCTGTCCTGAAGACCTTAATTTAATCTTAACATAAGATCCAGTGGACAGAAACAACAGCTACTGAGACCCAGAAATTTGTTTACTCGAGGTTATACAGTCCATGACAGAACTAATACAATTATTTCAGCTGATTAAGTTCAAGGCTAATGGCTCAACTTCAAAACAGCCTTCCATTACTACGCCATTCAACAGGCATACAAATTCTTCAGTTGTATTAAAAATACAAAAGAGATTAAATAATCCTCAGTCTCCATTAGGGCCAGATGCAATCATGAAATGAGGGTTAATAATTTTCTAAGCAACTAAGAGGCAAAGAAACACTAATAAAGATAACATCAAGAGCTCCACTAATAAGGTGTCTTAAGGAGAACAAAGCAGAAAACAGGAGGCAGGTATTGTATTGGTGCAATGTGCTGAGCAAAACAGAAAGTATGAAGTCTCAGTCCCTCAAACTTCCTAACATCTGAAAAAGGTTAGAAGTTAGCAGAGGTCAGGCAGATGACACCGACAGAAGTGAGTGGAACAGACCTCTAAGGAGCACAGGAAAAATAGGCAGAATGAATGAGAAACAACTTGAGAAAGGGAACAAGTTGAGTCTTCTCATACATTCAGCTCAATACTCACTCCATGGGCCCCTAATGCATGCTCACAGTGGCACCTGCTTCTCACACTGGGAAAAAGTGAATCATGGGGATTGTGCATCAGACACACTGGTGCGATGACACTCCACAGGGTCACAGACAGTAAGTTACAGTATGATTTGACCAGAAGTACCTGCTAGAAGGCCCAGCCTCTTCAGCTGTTTTTCATCAATGTGACCTCTGTTTTGCTGCTGGACAGCTAACCTCCCCAAAAGTCATTGTTATTACTTCTACTTTATTCCCCCACCTCCCAGGTGAGAAAAGCAAGTTGTTCCTGGAACACCAGAAGGAAATGAAGCGTGGCTTCCTACAGACTGGAATTACATTTCCCTAAGCTTCTCTTCCCCATAACTCCTTGTAGATTTCATCTCTCCTCGTTTTTAAGCTCTTTCCTCCCATAATCCATACCTGCTTTGTTGAATATGACGTAGCATAGTCTATGACTAATCCTGAACTTTGGCTGTGCTTACAGGCCAAACAGCTGCTGTCTTTTAAACTGGATATGGACTGAGTTACTGTGGTGGGTTTGACTTTGGCTGGCTGCCAGACACCCACCCACCTGCTCTCTCACTCCCCCTCCTCAGCAGGACAGGGGAGAGAATAAGATGTAAAAGCTCATGGGTCGAGATAAAGACAGGGAGATCACTTACCAATTCTACCATCAAGGGCAAAACAGACTTTACTTGGGGAAAATTAATTTAATGTATCACCAATTAAAAAATAAAGTAGGATGATGAGAAACAAAGACAAAGATTAAAAAAACCCTTCCCCATGCCCTTCCCTGATTCAACTTCACTCCTTCATTCTTGACTGCTCTACCTCCCCCGCTACCAGAGTGGTGCAGGGAGATGGGGAATGGGGGTTGGGGTCAGTCCATAACACTTCCTCTCTGCTGCTCCTTCCTCCTCATGCTGTTCTCCTGCTCCAGTGTGGGATCCCTCCCACAGGATACAGTCCTTCACGAACCGCTCCAACATGGGTCCTTCCCATAGGCTGCAGTTCTTCAAGAACTGCTCCAGCGTGGGTCCTTTCCACAGAGTACAGTCTTTCAGGAATGGACTGCTCCAGCATGGGTCCTCCACAGGCCACAGTTCCTACCAGAAAACCTGCTTCTGCGTGGGCTCCTCTCCACGGGCCACAGCTCCTGTGTGGGCTCTCCACAGGCTGCAACTTCCTCCAGGGCACATCCACCTGCTGTGGTATGGGGTCCTCCACAGGATGCTGCATGGATATCTGTTCCACCATGGTCCTCTATGGGCTGCAGGGGGACAACCTGCCTCACCATGGTCTTCTCCACGGGCTGCAGGGGAATCTCTGCTCTGGCACCTGGAGCACCTCCTCCTCCTCCTCTGACCTTGGTGTTTGCAGTGCTGTTTCTCTCATATTTTTCTCACTCCTCCCTCTCACTGCTGCTGCACAGCATTTTTTTACCCTTTCTTAAATATTTTTTCCCTGAGGGGCCATCAGCATCCCTGATGCATTCAGCTGTGTCCTACAGTGGATCCATTGGAGCTGTCTGGAACCAGCTGTGTCTGGCACAGGGCAGCCCCAGTCTCTTCTTGCAGAGGCCACCCCCGCAGCTCCCCAGCTGCCAACACCTGGGTATGAACATCCAAATACAGCTCTACAAGCTGAGGCACCATGTATAGGTGTCTCCTCTTTCTTACTGTTTTAAGTCAACTGACAGAAGTTAAGCATCTTTGACATGGATAACAGACAGAGCACTCTTCTCATCCACAGCTCACTTCAGTATGCATCAGTCCTTTTGCTAAGGGAGAGGGTCGGACTTTGAGCAATCAACTCTTCTGAAACTTATTTGAACTGAGGAAGTAGTTTCACAGAGAATCAAAAAACTGCACAAATGTTTACGGCACCACAGTAAAATCCCAACATTAGCACAAAAGTAACTTTGAAGTCACCAGCAGTCATTTTCAGCCAAAGGTACAACAGTATATAAATTAAATTATTTATATATGACAAGAAGTAAGCCTTACAGCACTCAGCACTGAATTGTTTGTAGATGTCTTTCAACAGCAGCTACACATATTTTTAAGGGTCAAGCACTTAGTATTTTGTAAATCCCGTATCTAGTAAAACACACATCAAAATTTTTAAAAATATATTTTTTCAGAAGTACCATGTCAGAAATGTGATAGTTTTACAAACATCAAGATTTTAGTTTTAATAAACATCTGTAGTTAAGTAAAAAAAACCAAAACATCCAACATGCAATTTAAATCTACATGTGTGCTAACAATAATGTTATTACATATATGATAAGTACAAGTGTCATGTTACTTAGCTATTGTTATTTTTTACATCACAAACAGTTTTGAACAGACTAAAGGAATTAAGGTTTTTTTCCCAGGTTTCAGTAAGTTTGTGGAATATGTAGAGAAATATTTTAAATGTACAGCACCTCAGCAAAGTAATTCTGAACTTTGATTACTTTTTTCCCCCAGAAGTAATTTACAGTGTTTTGAAAAACACAATAAATGTTATTTAAGCTGGGTTAGTTGCCTATTTCAACAGAGATACAGATCACTTGGACAGACAGCCCAAATGCAAAAGAAGTTTTGTGAGTGTTGTCAGAACATGAGAAACTCAACTGCAATAAAGAACTATTCAAACTGAAGCAGTTATTCAGGCAAAGCATCCAGAACCAGAAAAGCACTTAAGGAAGACCTTGCCTCTTCTCTTGTCAATCACCACTAGAGCATCTCCACTCCAACGGACATGCACAAATACATGACATGCTTCCCACATTCCCATAGCTCAGATGTAAGCATGATGTATTTCACAGAATGACATGCACACTTAGTTAACAGAGGTCATTCTGGCACCTACTGAGAAGGTAGACTCATGCTTCTATATAGGCATACAAGCAAGGGAAGAGTGATCTTATATGTCAGCTAGTAGAAAATGAACGGAAGTTCTTCTGTTGTGTTTCCATAATCCACCTATCAACCAGAGAAGTCTCCTGCCACAAATCAACTGCTGTCTGAAATTACCTACTGCAATTAGCTAGTCAAAGACCTAGGTTTACGTAGTCCATTTCCTATTTTCTCCTTGCTCCACAAATCACTGGGAATACTCTCTTCTTCTGTATCTAAAACCAAGCAGCATCTCTTCCCTTAAGCCATCCCAATTTTATTAAGTATTGGGATGCCTGGATTTCCCCCACTGCAAGCACACAGCACCACTTTGTACTTCAGGCATCTTTCAGCATTTTTTCAACTACTAATTTTTGTACATTTTGTCATACATGCCTGCAACTGGTTTTAACAGGATGCATAATACAGAACTCAAGCATATGGTAGTATACATATTAATCTACATAACACAGAAGGCAAACTTTATGTTGTAGATGCTACTGCAAGCAGTTCCAAAAACAAGATAGTGTTTTTAGGTAGCACATACTTCACCTGACAAAGCCCCTGCCCTCCACAGCAAAAAATGTTGTCCATCATGCATCTCTAGTTTCTGACAGCTTGGTGTTGTGGTTTAACCTCATCTGGCAACTGAGGACCACACAGCTGCTTGCTCACTCCCTCTGCCCCCAGTGGGATGGGGGAGAGAATCGGAAGGGTAAAAGTGAGAAAACTTGTGGGTTGAGATTAAAAAGTTTAATAAGTGAAAGATGGTGATGATGATGATGATGATGATAATAATAATGGAATATATAAAGCAAGTGATGTACAATGCAATTGCTCACCACCTGCCAACCAATGCCTAGCCCATCCCCAAGCAGAGGCCCCCCCGGCCAGCTTTCCCCAGTTTATGTACTGAGCGTGACGTCCCATGGTATGGAATGTCCCTTTGGCCAGTTGGGGTCAGTTGTCCTGGCTGTGCCCCCTGCCAGCTTCTTGTGCACCCCCAGCCCTCTCAGTCGGTAGAGCATGGGGAGCTGAAAAGTCCTTGACTAGTGTAAGCACTGCTTAGCAACAACTAAAACATCAGTGTGTTATCACATTGTTCTCATCCTAAAACACAACGCACTGGAGTTTAGGCCACTGTTAACCTAACTTAAAGAATTTATATTAATAAAGCAAATATTTCTCTATAGGAGAAACTGAATAACTGCATTTGAGCTAGAGGAGACAGACATCATTTTGCCACACAAGAACAGGCCAGTATAGCAATATATTTGACAGAGATTGCTGGCTGTCAAACCTATTTATTTCAGCTGGATCATTGCCATTGAAATGCACTAGAAAATGTCAAGAAAAATAGAACCAAATCTCTTTACAGAACAGATATCATTACATCATCAATGTTTTATATCCTTAAATTATAACTCAAGGTGGGAAATATTCTATATAAATATTTCACGGTCTTAAATTCTCTAAGATTCTAGACACACGTTTTACAAAGTTCTCTCCAACTTAAGAGCAAAAAGACATATACAACTGTATACTAATGATGATGGTTTACTACAAAGGTGAAAAGCTGTATCAGCCACACTTCTGAAGGAATAGGCCCCTGAACTGCTAACAAAACAAAAAAACTAAACAAAAAAAAAAAAATGGAAAGAAGAACTAAATCAAAGTGAAAATATGTTCCTGTATGGTGAAAAATCTACTGAAATACTCAGGCTCCTATGTATTCCAACAAGGAGGAAAAACACAAGATCACATAGTTGAGGTTGGAAGGGACTTCTGGAGATATTCTAGTCCAATACTCACTGCTCAAAGTAGGGTCAGCTAGAGCAGGTTATACATGCATGAAAATTTCCTACTCACAGTAATTGTGCTTTGACCATAATGCTTAAAAGTAATCCAAAGGCTAATGTATTTAATGCCACCCATTTTTAAGAGCTCTTTACAAACATCCTGGAGTTCAAACTTGCTCCACAACGTCTTGCTGCCTGCTAGAAAGCAGCATACATCATATCTGCCTTTCTTGATCCCATGATATCATGTTCCTCCTGGTCTGTGAAATGTCTCTGGGGCACAAACTTCTTAGCCTAAACTACTGTTTCTTGTCCTGAAGGATAAGTTATTCAGAACTTTATCCAGTCTGGTCTTGAAAACCTCAAGGACAGAGGCTGCACATCCTTACTAGGCAACCCGATCCACGCTACAATCATGGTGTAAAAGTTTTTCCTTCCATCCAGTTTGAACCTCATTTCTACTTACACCTGCTGTCTCTTGTTCTCTTACCACACATCACTGAACAGCTAAAATCCATTTGAACTGAGTTGCTATAAAATGTCCTCCTACCAATTACAGATTTTATCTTCTGACAAATGTTACCTATCACACTGTATCCACAAAACAGACGACTTTGTCAGTGCAGCATGCTAGCCTTTAAAATTAATCTTTTTTTCTTTGGCAGCATAGATGCATGTACAGGCATATATATACACACACATATATATGCATACACATACAGACATATACGTATGTATCTGTACTGCCAAAGGAAAAAAGATACTTTTTTTTTTTTAAAAAGAACAAACCAAGATCTGCAAGGCACAGACTTAAGACTTCTTCTAGAGCTTTTCTGAGGAAATGGGAAATTATGAACTGATTCAAAATCTTATCCTGTAACTATGACATTTTCTGTACAAAACAGGTTATCCTATATATACTTTGCGTGACACAAGGTAGTGATGAGGTGCAATACCAATGTTTATTACAAGCTTAGTAGAGACATCTTGAAAAAAACCCCAAACCCCCAAAAAACCCCAAGACGACAACTTAATCTGTGACACTTTCATATGATTATTTTGTTTCCCACTTTAGCCAATGGACCCGATCAAGTCCTAACTTACTGTTAGTCAAGGTTGCTTACAACCCAGATCAAGCCTCCTATTGAATCATTTTGCTTACAATCTGTTCTTTCCAGTGTGATTGACAAACAAGTATCATAAAGTGATCTATGCTCCAGCCCCTTAGTAAAAAGGATCACCTTTCTACCAGGCTATCTGAAAAGTTACTGAGAAAAATGCAAGCTAAGGAAACTAGAAGAATTTTGTGCCACTGAAAAAGACCCCCTTCTTATCATCATTTTGACATAGCTTTGCTTTTTCAAATGGCTCACTTGTGAAAGTATATGTATTTTTTAAATCAGAATAAAAGGAGCCTTGTTTTTACATTAAAATGACATTGAAGAACACATATTGGTTCATAATTTCTGTTGCTACTGTCATTTTACATTATAGAAGAAATTTATGTGGTTTCAAGAGTTTGCACAGAGTTTTGTTCTGATAATATAATTCAACTTGCATATAAAAAAGATGTTTAAAAATATTTCTCTATAAGAATTTGCAGCACTTACTACATGAGTGACTTTCAAGGTATCACCATCAAATTTGCACAAGCTTGCACTATCTTCAAGAAAAGCATCACATTCTTCTAATTCTTGAGCATTACAAGGTGGGTTTTCCTTTTCAGGGTTTGGATTCTGAAATAAAAAGACAACGAACTACACTGAAAACCCGAGCTACTGAATATATAATATATAAAAATCCCTTTTCATAACAACAGCACATATATTTATATAATACATAAAAATCCCTTTTCAACAGAACAGGACGAATAATTTGCATCAAGCTATTATGTACTTATTCAAAATGAAGAGAACCATTTCTGTTGTGGAGGATAGCATGAGTGGTAGGTACAACAAAATCCATTTCAGTTTAAGGAAAGGTACATAAGCCACTAAAACACGGACAATAAATTCCCTTCTGTAAGTAGCAGAAGTATACAATTCTGAAAACCTACGCAGGTTCAGTAAATTTACATCAGTGTAAGCTCCTTTCAGATTGCCATTGGAAATGCTATTAAAAATGGATTAATTATTTTTGTAAGTAGGTCTAAATACCTGCCTCCTTTTAGCTTTGCTAATAATTATTTTAAATTAAGAATGTTGTTATGCATATTTTTCAACACACTCAAAACAAGAAAAAAGCACATGTATTTTTTCACATCCCACAAGTCAAAGAAAGGAAAAACCGTCACTTTTACTAATAATTCGAGAGCAAGATAAAACAATACCGCATACACAAACAGCTTACTTCTGCTAATGATATCTTCCTTGGATAATTTTCAAAACAATCAAGCTCCATTACCTTTGTGATATATTTAAAGAACTAATTTAACGATAACAGAAAGGGACCTTTATTTAACAGAAGGCAAAAATATATACTTCCTCGTTAAGTATGAATTAACGTTGCTTCTTGCATGAAAAAAAGACACCATCTTGACAACTAATATAAGCGGAAAGCTGAGGCCAAACAGAATGTGTAAGGAAAGATTAGACAGGGCACTGACTCAATTCATCTGACAGGGAGGAGTTCCTGAGTTCCTGTGCTCCTTTCTTCATCCATTTCAGCTGATTATTAAGAACTTTTATTTTGGTTCAGTCCACAAAGTGAAGGAGATCAGCACAATTTTTTTTTTAATTGCTAAGACAATTTAAGTTCAAAGAAAACAAACATGAAGAGATAACAAAGAAACATCCTTAAATGACAGGAACCAGGAAAATTGTCATATACTGCAGGCTAATGCACAAGACTTAAAACAGGGTATCCGTCTCTTTAGAGGCTAGACTTTGGGGTTCACCTCTCCTCTACCAAGCATTCTTGACAGCCTCTGGTTTACTGTTTCATCAGGTGGATTTTAAAAAACCTTCCAGGTAAATATCATTACCATAAGCAATTGAGATGACCAAAAAGAATTCATGCCTTTATTATACATATGTAGCTAAAGTTGCAGTATAACAAAGTACGTAACATTTATTTAAATGAACTTTGCTAAGGAAAGATTTTTTTTTTTTTTACATGATCATTATTGCACAGAAGCTGAAAAGTTGTGACAAAAAAAAAAATCATCACTTTAAGCTCAGTATGAGTTACAAAAGAAAAGAAATTTGAAGTTCTCAATAAATCTCAGGTTAAAAGATGTACTACAATATCTTGCCCACAAATAGTGGAGGAGAAAGGAGGGAAATCAATTTAAACACTAAACAGAATTTATTTTAATAACACTTTTCAGCCTTATTAAAAAAAGTAATAGTCCAAAACTAATATATCAAGACCCATAGGGAGTCACACTTCACTAGTTTTAGATGAGATGCCATTTTCTAATTAAACCAAAAGGGGAAGTATCAAGCAAACAGCAGTTAAAAATTACATTTTATTTTGTTTTAAGTAGATTCCCTGTATAACAATAATGCCAGAAAGCTCACAAGTCATGCTTATGCTTTCCTAAATTTTCTTTTTTAAAATGTTATTTACACTCACAGTCTGTAAGTCAAGTACAGTATCCCTAGGAAGACAGTATAAAAGTATTGCTAACCTATTGATAAAAAAGAAACAGACATCCTTCAAAATTACTTAAATCAACTGCTTTAAAACAAACTGCCACATCATAAGTGGTGGGAACAAAATTTATTTTCAATGTTAAATCAGACTTCTGTTTTGGTGCACAGATGCTATCATGTAAGCTAAATTCAGCCCCCCATGAAGATAGTATTACTGTTCAAAGTATATTCACAACTCTAGTGCCATCAGTTTGGTAACAGTTTCAGTTAAAAATGAATGTGGAGTTAGGATTCTGAATAGTAAATGAACTGATGAGCTATGTCAATGAAGTGCAAATTAGGATATCAAGAAAAGACAATACGCAAATCTACAAGAACTTTAAATGTTTTACTTTCAACTCCTTACCATTACTTCAGAAGTAAGATGCATCAGGCTTTCAGTTATTTCAGAGCATTGGGAAGAGTCCATAATGAATTCCCCTCTTGTGTCACCAACTATTAGCTCTGGCCACCGGGGTCCCTCATTTTTCTTAATTAGAGAAATTTCCAAACTAAAATGCAAATAGAAGACAAAGAGTAGTACATGAAAACACTGTATCCATTTCTCAGATTAGTCAAAAAGCTCTAAATGTAGATTTGATCATGAATTAATAATGAAAATCGCATAACAGAAACCTCTAGCATTCAATATATAAAATAAACTATTCTAATGGAAAATATTCTAAAGAAAAACAGACTAAGGACATGTGATTTCTAAAAGCCTAAGAACAAAGAGAATGTATTCATGAATGTAAGTGTCCTCAGAGTTTTCAATGTAAATGCAGTTTCCCCTGAAGGAGTCTTATTAAAATATTTTAAATACCATAGGAGATCACCCGTAAAGAAATCTATTCAAAGAGTGACAGAATTTTACTACAGAGATTTGAAACCTAAGAAGTACTTATTAGGGCTACTTAAGCATGCACTACCTTTATATAACATCTAGGACAAAAATATTTGTATTTTATAGACCTCAGAAATACAAAACAGTTAATTATCTACATTGTATATCTAAAATCATGTCTCAGAAGAGATACGATTTCTGTAACCTGTCAAAAAAACCCCAC